ACAATGTTTCCCTTTTTCCAGTCACCAGGGACTTCACCTGACTGCCATGACTTTTCAAATATCATGGAGAGGGGCTTGGCGACTACATCGGCCAATTCCCTCAGGACTCTGAGATGCATCTCATCAGGTCCCATGGACTTATGTGCATTCAGGTTCCTCAGGAGGTCACGAACCCGATCTTCTCCTACAGCAGGAGGGGTTTTGCCCTCCCGGTCCCCCTCATGCCATCCATCAACTCGGGAGGGGTGAGGAGAGAGGTTGCCAGTGAAGACTGAGGCAAAAAAGGTGTTGAGTACCTCAGCCTTCTCCTCATCTGCTGTTACCAGCTTGTGTGGTGTTATTATCAATGTTCCTTTAGGTTGTGCAGCTGAGTGACTCGTCCTTGTCTCCAGGCCTTGCAAAATTTTCGATTAAGGCACTATCTGTACTCCACTTTCATTAAAAAGAAGGTGCCTTATTAGCTGAAGTCTGATTTTTTTCTCATGTTTGTAAAGTTCCATTAAACCTTGCAAGATGGCACAGGCCAGGAAGTGAGAAAAAAAATCCTTTTGCATATGATTCTCCTGATGGAGTGTTTTACAGGTTGTTTTCCTTTGCTATTTTGAGAAATCATTCAATAACGCAGTGTGCATTTGGGTGTAATGAAAAGGCCTTGCACTTTATAAAGTACAAATCAGCCAGGTCATAGGGTGGACCTCACCAGGGAAGTTTTCACCAGGAAAGTGCAAATGGGACTGAGCACCCGAATTCTTGCTGAATTTTCACAGGAAGGAAGCAGCACACTGAATGAAGTAGTTTAAGAAAAAAAAAAAATCACTCTCAAAGAATGACAGTATTTTGGCATCTTGGAATAAAATTGTGCTTAAAATCTTCACCAATGGCTTTCCAAACTGGTTCCGACTAAAACTGAATTCACAACAGAAAGCCAAACTCTTGATAACTAACTGCTGGGGAAAAAAAAGTTTAATAGATCTGTCAGACATGGGATAATTGAGATGTTTATACCATTTTCTCTAGAAACTATATGGCCATACATTATATAGACTAAAAAAGGCTACTGAGTTACTAAGTTTTTGAAAAATTTCCCTCTTACCTTTTTCAGCTCCAGGTTATATCAAAACAAAACAGGAAGCTTGGGTTGTAAAAGCTGTTGAGAATCTTTGCCATAGGCATATGAGTGTGTCTTCTGAGATTAGAGAATCAAAGTTAATAAGCCTGACGATTTTAGCCTCCACCCCAGAGTGCTGAGTCTTTTTCCCCCGATCCCATGGCCTGGCATGAAAACAAGGCCAGAATAGTCCTGTGGTCTTGGAGAAAACTTCTTACTTGGTTTGTGGTTTATTCTATATTCTGTGGTATAGGGAAGAGGTAAAATAAGAGCCTTTTCACAAATAGACTGGAATGGTGTGGATGTTTATGCAAACAAAATGTGTTTTTTCTGTGCTTGCAATAATACAGGGTAATTTAAAAATGTTATTTAAGCTCTCTCTATATATAATTATTTTTTTAAATGTCTGAATGCGGCTATCCCACTTTTTTTTTAGTAGCCCCAAAGACTCCTCTTAAATAAATAATGTACGAAATAGTTTTTAGAAGGTTGGTGTCTGGTTTAAAGATATTCAGAGTTTAAGGACTCTGAATAGAGTCCATTTCTTCTGCTTGGGATAAATGGGAAAGCACAAGTCAGACTCTGAGCTGGTGGAGTAAGTGCCACTGGCTGCCCTGGTTATTGATCCTCTGCTGAAAAAGACACCGGTCGCTGGAGGTAACCATAGCCTGGCTCCCTGCAACACTGTCGGTTGCCCTGTCTACGCCTTAGGAATAATTGTTTGCAGTAAAAGGGTGATTTGTAAACCAGTGGTATGGTATTAACTTGCTTGTCCACGAGCTGCCAGAGGCTCTGACACTTGTTTCCTCCTTGAGATTGACTCATGAAGGGTGCCAAAACATGGCATGAGTTTCATTTGTGTGTGTCTGCATTTGTTGCTTGCATTCCTTGCCAGGTGGCCCCCATGCCCCCAAATATTCCTGTATTTCAGGGCATGACAGCACCCCTCAGTACTGGTGGGATGTGTGGGGGGGTTCACAAGGTTTATTTGTCTGATGCAAAGAAATTTCCAGACTAGAAGTGAAAGATCTGTAGCTGTTGTCCCTGTCACGAGGCCAGACCTTTCTGAGGTGCTGAAGCTGCGTGGGGGGGTTCAGGCAAGTTTGACTAATAGCCAGATTGTGTCATTATTGCTTCTTATTTTTAAAGCGTCCATAAACGTGCTGTTACCTCGCTGAAATGAGCAAAGGCTTAGTTCTCACTGAAGCAAATTAGCAGCTCAAATTTAGCCCTGCACTGCAAGAAGGTTATAAAAAGACATGAAGACGTGGGGGCAGAAGGATGAAAGCCCGAGGGAGGCGGTGAGGGCGTGTGTTCCTGCAGTCTGGTGCAGCATGGTTTCTCTTCCTTTTTCTGTCTTTAGCAATCAGACAGGCATTTGCTGCACCCAGTTTTGTGAGCAGGACAGGGAGCAGCGGGGTGCGGGTGAGCAGGGGCCGGGGTGGGAGACAGGGGGTCTGGGGGTGATGGTGCGGCTGAAGGGATGGGAGACCCTGCTCCTGATACCCTGTTTCCCTGCCTACACTGGTGGCTGGAGTCGCCGGTGCTGTCAGAGCAGAGTGATGGGCTGGCACAGGCAGGGCCAGACGCGCTGACCATCCCCACGGCTTGTCGGGAGCAAGACGAAGGACTAGCATCTCGCTGTGGAAAACAGCTCTGGAAGGCCGGTTGGTCTTTGCATCCTTTTATCTCTGTAGTAACCCGTTTAGCTGTTATACGGCATGCATAGCCTCGCAATATACGGTGTTGTACTGGGCGACCAGGCTTCGTTAGCATTTACCGCACAGTTTCATTCATTCATTATTAATTTGTTATTTGCATAAGTGCGTGCTGGTATTTCCCAGTTAAAAGAAGTGCTGCCTTGCAGGATCTCGTTGCAAAGCCCCTGCCTTAGTGTGGGCTCTTCCCCACCCTCTTGTCCCCGGCTCCAATGTGCAGCCCCCGCAGGCAGCTCCGGGTGCTGCTGGGTGGGCAGCGTGGCCTCCCTGATCTGTCAGGAGGTTCTGGTTCTGGCTTGTGCTGGCAGCTCTGTGGCTGGCGCTGGGGGCTGCCGTCTCGCCAATGCCCCCCTAAGGTTTGGGGGCTCCCCGGCCTGCCCCAGGCCCTTCTGCACAGTACCCATGCCTGGTGGCAGTGGCACTCCTGCCATGGTGTCACCACAGCTCTGCATCAGGGGTGCCACGTGCTCGGGGGAGCTCTGAATTGAGCAGAAGCTGAAGAAGGGGGGCAATGTCAAACGCAAACCCCACGTTAGCTTGATAAGCAGTGGGCTCCTTGCCCCGGCCAGGCTGAATCTCAAGCTGGTTATGACCTTTTTTTTTTTTTTTAAATTCAAATCACTTAAACCACACTTCTGGATCTCTTGCAGAAAGGTTTATTGTTCTCAGTACAGTTGTCATTAGCAACACACTAAGGTATGACTAATAGGTCTTTTTGGGGCGATGTCTATAAAAAAGGAAGTGGAAAGTAGTTAAGGTGAGCGAGGAGCCACGTGCCCTGTCTGCGCTCGCCAAGCTGCTGCAGGGTGCCAGGACTTGGCCACGCTCAGAGTCAGTAAAATCACTGAATTCACAGGAAGGAGCACCTCATGAGACTTTCTTTTGCCCTGGTCCCCATGTACGAGCTGTGCTTCCCTGCTGGTGTGCAGGCTGCAGGGTAGGTCTGTGAGCCAACCTGACTGGGGTCTGTGCTCAAGCTGTCACTGAAGCAGGAAAGAAACCTGGTTGCAGAAGTCACAGCTGCAGAGAGCTGAGAGGAAACCTTACTCATTGCGGGCAGCTAAATTAGTTGCACACACTGGATTAAATAAATTAGATGCACACAGTATTGTCAATGCTCAACATTGATTTCACTTCCACTGCACTCTTAAGAGACACCTTGATTTCTTTAATGTCTCTGCCTGGCACGGGAGGAAAGCAAATTGCCACCCTCTTTCCTTTGGCTGCCAGCTGTCGTGGGAAGCAGAAGAACCTGCATCCTACCACCTGGAAAATGTGTGCAGTGAGGCAGCATCGCTAGCAACTGTTCCTCACCGGCGCAGGCTTTCAGAGTGGGTGCAATGCCTTGCTGAACAAGGCATCCGCTCAAGGTGCCAAAGGCTGGTTTTTTATATTGGTGAAAGCGTTTTTTCTCCCCCAGACCACAGTGTTTGGTGGAGTCGGCAGTGAGTGGGAGATGCCAGGACTCCTACAGAAGAAGGGGTCTGTCCCGTTCTACTCCTCAGAAGAAGGGGTCTGTCCCATTCCAGCTGACAGTCGCACCTGCCCACTTGGTCCTGATTGCCATCTCCACGGAGGGACGCCTCTTCCCTGGGCTGCTAGGGTCTTCACTTCGTCCCTCTTCCCAGTGATGCGAATGAGTGTCTGAAAAGGAAACGCAGTCTAAAAAAAACCACCCCCCCAAAAAAAACTTTTAGAAAAGGTTAAAAGCAGAACCAGCTGGATTGCTGCAGGTGTGCTGCCCCCCCCGCCCCAAGGAGGGAGCTCGGGGCACCGTCGACTTGGCCAGTGGGGGCTGCCCCCTGTGCTGCACAGGCCCCTGCCTTGGGAAATTCAAGTGCTATAAATACAGCTCTCAACTCCTTGCAGGGTACTTTTGCATATTGTTTTTCTGAACAGATGCTCACATCCTTACGCGCAGCCACACTGCGTATCATGACCGTGAATCTCAATTCACCCTTATTTCCTGCAAATTTAGCCTTTAGTGTGGTGTTTTCAAGTTTCTTACATTACTTTAAAGGCCATAGTGAAAGGAGAGCGAGGAAAAAGGGCTGGGTATTCAGAAAGTGAAGGTAAACAGTGGCACGGAGAAAGAAGAAGTTCACTCCTCCTGGTGCAGATTTAAAAACTGAGGGGGAACACGAGGGCCACAGTGGCACCTGGCTGCTGGGCAGGAAAATATAAACTTAAGTCTAAGTTAGATGCTGAAAACAGGTTGTTAACCCATCCTGCATGCCAGCATTGCTACATTAGAAATAGGTTTATTCGAAATTTTGAATTAATCATTAAATGATTCTGCTTCCTGTTGTATTTAAACTTTGCACTTACGTGCAAAGGAACGTTCCCTCCTGGGATTTGTCCCATGGGAGGGGTGGGTACCTGAGGGTTTCCCTTCTCCTCCTAGTTGTTCCAGGACGCTCAGTCAGCAGGGCATTCGTGTTGTACCGATGGGGGCTTAATAGCAACGGAAGATGAAACATGATTTTAAACAGTATGTCTGTATTGATTATTTAACACAGAAGTGAGAGTTACGTCTTGTATCCTGGAAAACTGTCACTTCTCCAATAAAAACTCTTTGGCCACATCTGGAGAAAAAATGGCCAAGTCCTGAGTGGCCCCCACACTGGGACGAAGTCGTGGGCTCGGTGCCCAGGGAGGTGAGCTCGGTGGCCCACGTGTTCCATGGGTGGGGTGGACCCTGTCCTGCTGGCAGCTCAGCCAGCCGGAGCCCCACTCAGCCCCTGCCCCGGCACGGGAGAAGAGCACGGCCTCGGCTTCACCGAGTGCTGAGCATTCACCGTGCCCAGGAACCAGCGGTGGGCTCGGGGGGGGGGGGTCAGCAAACTGGAGTTTACGCAGGGACTCAGGAGTTATTACTTCTCTAGAAAACACTCCTATAGCTCTTCCCAGCAATGGGCCACCTGCTTGAGAACATTACCCCTTCCAAAATGCTCGTGGACCTTTCAAAGCCAGGTTTTCATTTGTGTCTTTTTACGCTGTTGTTTGGAGTAGGCTCCTCACATTCCGTGAATGGCTAATGTTACGTACCGTGTATGTATGTGTATATGAAGTACAGAACATTGAATTGCGTGGGTAAGCAGACCCACCCAGCTACACACGTATACAGTTCTATGCATGGTCTGTACATCACATCCATACTCGTACCCTCCCCTGGTAAGCTCGGCCCATACCTATCGTTAGGCAGGCTGTTGTTGTCTGCTCCTGCTGCCCGCTGTAGAAGTACAGGTGGAAGACTCTCTCCATTTTCCAGTCGGAGAGGAGCCGGCTGTTGGTGCCAAAGAGAACGCTGTGCCTCCCGGTGATGCTGCACAGCCAGATGGGCAGCCGGGGCGTCCTCAGCCTGGGGGACACCTGGGGAGAGGGGGGTGAAGCCTTGTGTTAGAGTCAGTCTTTGTCCCCAAGCCTTGGTGTCTGGTGTGTGGACATCAGGTACGGCCGCGGCCACCATCGAGCTCCTGCGGGCTCGCTCGGCCAGTTAGGAGGAGGCTGAGCATGGCCTGAGGGGAAACGGCTCATGGTCACGCTGTGAGGCAGCACAGCACAGGCCCTTTGCAAAATGGCAGCTGGTGTCCTGCTCTGTCATGAGCAGAGGAATGCCAGACTACCTGTGGCTTTGTTATTATGGTTATCATCATCATCATTGTTATCATCTTCATCATTTTTATCATCATCATCACCACCCATTTTTTAAACAGACAGTCGTGATTAGACTTTGCAAAATATTTTCCTATGGCTTTACGCCTTTTTTTTTCACTGGGTTAACAAGTGAGAATTTTTTCCTAAATCAAAAGTGGGAATAATAATAAAAGAAAACTTGAGAAATGAGGCTAACCTTACCTGTGTACAGGTGATGTTTCCAAAACTGAATTTTAACAGAGGAGTTGCTGTGCAGTTTAAATCTTCTTGGACCCTGTACGAGCAAGCGCAAAGCGTCAGGGTAGTGTCTGGATCGGTGCCCGAGGTGATTGCTGTCCATCACTGTCTGATTAATAGGAGAGGGGGAAGAAATTCCATAGACTCCTTTATTTCTCCTTGCTGTTGGCACAGCAGTGGGATCCTGACACAGCAGTTTTATGCTCAGCTGGAGCTCTTGCACTTCAGCTCTGTTGCTGTTAAAATTCGAATCTGGGGTCAGATTCAAACCCTCTGCAGATGGAGCCGGGATTTCCCGTGGCACAGTTACTGCCAAAAGGTCTCCCTTACACCAGGCATAGCCTGAATACAACTGTTTGAAATAGGAGGGCAATTTTTCACTAAATAGCTATCACAGTGTCACGTTAGTGTGAGCCATGTTTCATATTGGTATAAATATTCCCCTGTACCTTCCCAAAGCATCTTTACCCAAATCTACTTACATCGGGTTTACAAAGACCCTATCAGTTACCTCTGCCAGGATCGTCTCTGGCAGAGTTCTCCTGT